AGAAAACTTTTGGAAATTAAAACTGCTCTAATACCTCCAAGGGGGAAAAAATAATAAAAAAATACTGCTGCCTCTGATGGCTCACACAATACAGCAATGCCTGGATCATCTCAAAATTAAATATACCTTGATATTTGAACTGTTTGGGCTTCAGAGCCTCAGCCTCTGGCATTTCATAATACTTGGGTAATAAACGAACAATCTTATTTTATCAAAAAAAAATATAGAGGGGTTAGGAGTGGGGGGTGCGGAAGAGCGCAGAGGAAATAGTGTCTGTGAAATGGAATCCACAGTTTCAGACACCAGCTCTCATTAATCTTGCTGATGAATAGGATCTTTATAGAAGGAGACCCTGCAGTTGAGAGAATTGAAAGGAAATAGTATGGAAAGTGAAGCTGCAGTTTCTTGTGCTAGTTCTTATGTGTTTTAAATTAAGTGGCTTTTGTGGAGGCTCGAGTCAAAGAAAAAAGAAATCCAAGTAATTCCTGCTTTACAAGAGAAATGCACGTGGAAGCCACTGATGCTCCTTTTGCTGCAAGCCTTTTTTGGCAAAGAGATTAGATCAAGAATACAGCCAAAAAAGGAATGGAAATGCACTGTTCGGTGATTAGTTTATGACATTCTACCCTATATATAGTGCCTACTTGGCAAACCCTCCTGCAGTTCTGCGTTTTTCATTGCAAGTGGCTTATATCAGTACTGACATCTTGCAGATGTTAGTAGCTTTGATTTTTTTCCCCCATATTGCAAATGAGTTGGCATGGAAACAACTCTTTTCTGGCAACATGACATATGATTCAAGGCAAAATGCATTTAACACAGATGAATAGTTCAGGAATATGCCTATAACAAAAAGTCATCTTGAAAGCTGCTTTGCATTTGTTGGTGTTTATGACAACTTTTTCAAGACAGTCTCTCAAAAAAAAATAAAAAAATCAAGTGTTTAAGACTGGGTACAAATGATGAATTTTGCATTGCTTGGCGCTGCATATGCCATCCTTGATAGATTTGTTTTAATAATAAGAAGATAATATTAAGAGAAAAAAATGTTGAGAGGTTATTTTCTTATTTTCAAGGAACTGTTGCTGCATTAGTTGCTGTGTTTTTAAGATAGGTTCATCATCCAGGGCCACCCATGACTGAGGGTACTCTGGCAGCCAGGTGAGCACAACCACAGGCAGAAGCAGGAGTAGAGGGCATCTGCTTGCAGGGCGAGGGCTGGACCAGACCACCGGGTCCCTCCCAGCCACCATCCCACAGTGCCTGCAGCAACTGGGACCAAGCAGTGAGCTCTCCCCTCGCCTGTCACTGCCAGCTCCAAACTAGTCCAGAGCCTTGGAAAAGGCCTGAGCATCCTTTTCATCCCCCACAGTGATTTAGCAAAAAGCTGAGGGAGCTCTTGTTTCAAGCAAGAGCTGAACCCCCTCTTCATGCAGCTAGAGCAGGAAAAACACAGGGAGCCAGTGGCTACTTCCTGCAGCACACACAGGCTTTACCTTTTAAATAGGTTGAAAAGAAAACCACAATTTTGAACATCTCCAGCAGTCTAAAACTTCCACTTAGGATGCCTTTAAATACCAGCGAGCAGTAGACGAAGGAGGTGAGCCTGCAGCAGGGAGGAAGAGGAGGGCTTGCACAGGAAGAGAGCAGAAAGCAAGATAGGAGATACCTTGTGGGCTGCAGTCAACGTTGAATGTGCGAGCAGACCTTCCAGAGCCTGTCCAAACCTAACCTGAACTTCAAACCTTTTGAAATATTATTATTACTGAAGGAGTCTGGCAAGAACTCACCTCAGTGATTTAGAGCAGTCTGAATTCAATAAAATTAGCATTTAAATGAACCCAATTAAGAAATGCTTTAAACTGAGCATGCAAGAAGGGAGTATGGGCGACTTGTCTATTAGAAAGCTGTGGAGTGCTAATGCATGAAGAGACAAGCCCTTATGGGGCTCTACAGAGAGAGAAGAAAACACCAGGCTCTGTGGGTTGAATGCACCGCCCATTAGCATACATAGATGTGTTTTACGTTTCATTGTCACTGAAAAAATATTTTGCCTTGTTAAAAGAAGTAGAAACTGATCGTAAAGGATGACAAAAAGATATTAATTACTGCCTGCTCAATATTTATCTGAATGCTCAAAAACAAAAAAAAAAAAAGTCAGATTATTTTACAAAAGGTACAGCATGACCATAAATGTCTGCCATGTTACGAGCGTGTATTGAAGCATCTTCTACATACTTAGCTTCCATAGCATGGAGCAGCCCAAATGCAAGAACAAGAAATCTGAACAGACTCCATTTATTTTACTGGTATTTGAATGCATTTTTTTCCTAATGAATGCATCTGTTTTGGATGATAAATAGTCCATTAGAGAAAGCTCAAGTTTATGTTTTTCTTGTGTGTGCGTGTGCCGTTTTGATTACGTTGCCATTAACATAGTGTTGCATTTACTATTTTATCATTGTTTCTGCCATCAGCTATTCTGTACAGGAAAAAAACTTGCTAGAGTGAGCTTATAATCACAAGTATTTTAATTTATTAAATAAATGACCTAATTGCTTGCCTGAGATCTATTTTTCTTCTTTCTCTTGACCCTATTGAGACTTAATCAGTTTCTTGGTGCTAATTAGATGTCAGCATTAGTAGCCTGCTAATACATAAGAGATAATGACACCATTGTGCAAGACACAGTGTCCAACACATGACCCTGTTTCCTTAAATTATACCCTAAGGATTCATCGGGAAGCCTAAACACTTCATAGCTTTGCAGCAGCAGCTCCTTCTGAACATGGACAGTGGTACAGATCTGACACGGAAGCAGAGAATTAGACACAAAATGCAGCTTTTCACCATGCAGCACTTTAACCAGAATTACAGCTGCTACGCTCTTGTCCCACTTAGTGGATTTATCATGCAGCATTTGCTCAGTGTAAAAACACAGACACAAAGAAAGCTTAAATAACAATTCAGCATTTGTCTTGTAGGCTAGCAAGCTGGTGGCAGGGAACTGCAACACACACCTTCCTCAGATACCTCCCTGACCCCATCTGCATGCTGCGGTGTGCTGCCGGAACAGCACATCGCATTTTGTGCCAACGTGTGTTCGCAGGGCTGGGAGACACCCAAAGCAAACTTGGAGCTGCAGCAAGGCTGTGGCTGCAGATACCATCAGCTGTGGGCTGGCAGTGCCCGGCTATCACAAGCAAAGCGTCCTCCCCAGGGCACTCAGGACAGAAGGGGCACAGAGGCAAGAAGAGCAGCAGCGGCGAGGAGCGCATGCAGCAGCACAGGGATGAGCAGCTGGTGAGAGCGCTGGGGAGGCCAGCATGCAGGCAAGCAGCCGCTCAAGCTACTTGCTGCCAGAAAAAGTGCAGAGCAGCTTTGTTTACTGTAGAACATAACACAGGCCACAGTCAGCACAACGGGCCAGGGCAAGGCACGCATGACAACCAGGCCTTCTGTAGAAGATACTGAAAGAAAAAGCAATCTCAAGAAATTTTGGAGAGCCTTTATTGCAGGTCTTCTCCACAAAACTACATCTGGGGCTTGCAGCCCAGCCCAGGCGGGAAAACCCCTGCCAGCAAGAGCCTGCTATACTCTGAAACATCCTCCAGCATTCAACACTGCAGTTATTTAAACAAGCTCCTGCACTCATCACGAGTAGCCTCTCAACAACTGAGGGGGAACAAGAACTTCTGCATCAAAACATCTACAGATCGTAGTCTCTACTGAGACAGCCTGTCCCTGTCCCTCTACCACAGCACTCAGATTCATGGTACAAAGGAGCAGCTCTTAATCCAGTCCTTTGGCATCAGGAACAAACAAACAAACAACAAAAAAACACTTCTCTCTATTGGAAAGGTTTTTGCATTAGAGTAGGGCCTCAAACATTTTGCTATTAAGTCAGTGAATATGCCAGCAGAAATACCTGACGGTACAGAAATGCTGATCAGAGCTGGGGTTCTCAAACTTTCTCTGGATCAACACAAGCTCTTGAAGTGCAAAGAACTTCACAGAAAAAAAAAAAAAAAAAAAAAAAAAAAAAAAAAAGAAAAAAAAGTTACCTGTCATCTGACAGTTTTATGATGGCAAAATCTTCTAGAGTTGAGTTGACCTTAAAACATAAATGTGGAAAGCACTGTAGGGGAGATATGCAGTGAAATTGTGAGCTTTTCATGATTGTTCGCTCTCAAAACACTGTGACCAGTTATACACCTGAAAGTCACTAAATGCATTTGCTGTTTGATATTTTTTAAGTGCTGTTATGTCTGAGAGGTGTTAATGGTTCATCCATTAGTTGTGACCCAGACTTCACAACTTCACCCTGACTTCATTAGAGCGATTGTGCGGGTTAATGCACTCTACTTTTATCTGGCAGTTAAACCTCCCGGGTTCATTTGTATCAAAGCTGCTGTACAAACGAAGGGTCTCCTTTGAAGGGCCATAGCCCCGCAGAAGGATCTCTGAGCTGGGGACAGTTCCTAAGGGGAAGGATAGAGTAAGAAGGGAAACCTTGTTTGGGGTGGGAAAAGCAACAGAAGGTCCAGTGCGGCAGGGCACCTGGAAGTGGTCGCATGTCACAGAAGAGCAATGATGCTTTACTGGTTTTCTGCAAGCGGCCTTTGGACAAGTTAGATTTGCCTGTGTTTCACAAACAACAACAACAAAACTCTCCTGCAGTGGAGAAGAACGTACAGTGTCAGCTCAGTGCAGAAGTACAACAAGAATCTGGAATTTATGGGCCAAAATAACTGAACCCTCCAGGCACCACACAGCAGGCAGCTTTCAAAATGCAAGGTTAACAGCACATAAAGCACGAGGCTGCCTAATGCACCTGCTACCTCCACAAGAGCCTTACATGCACCGATTCCCATGACCTAGGAGAAAATGCTTTGCAAACCAGAGCATGGGCCCAGGGATGCAGTGATGAGCTCACCTACCTTGTAAAGTGAGTACCCAGAAAGAGGCAGAAAAGAAAAGAATTGGGCTGCCTGGCTTACTTGGGGGCATCCGTGGAGTCTGTGCCGACACACAGTGTCTCAGAAACATCCTTACTGCAGCAAACCTTCCACAGTACTAGAAAAAAGAAATGTGTTGTTAATGACGGATATTTAACTTCATTGTTAGCCATGTTAAACATGCCCAAATCACAGCACCCAGCTCCATATCATCGTTCGTGGGCAGTGTGCTAACGGAGAAGGAAGCAGCAATCCAGCCCTTCACAACAGATCCGCATTCCCAACGTGCTTTAAGCATGTATTCAGGCACGTATCCCAGAGACACCCAAATGAGGCCACACAGGGAAAGAGAAAGAGGAAGACTCTTGTGGTAGTGTTGTTCTTAAAACTCTGAACATATGAAAATGTGTACACAATTTCAATTTGTGGTACCTCCTGGGGAAATGCATGCGAGATTCTCCATGTGAGAGAAAGCACTTTTATGAAGAAATATTGCACTGTTGAACTCAGTGTCCCCAAATGGACAACATGGAGCTCCATTTCCTGCATTTAAAGAAAAGAGAATTATCTCAACACTATAGCCCAAGAGTAAATTCAGCAATTATAGAAGTTGAAGCATATCCCCAGATTTGTACTCAGCTCCCTGGAGGCAGCAAGCTGAGCAGCACATCCCATAGGCACTTGTTGGGGATAGGTATGTGACTACAGCTGTGCAGTAAAGTGGGGTATGAAAGGGGGCTGTGCTTCACTCTTCAGTGCTGGCTTTCCACTTGGCTCTGATCATATGCACACACATCAAGAGAATATCAAGTGAATATAACCAGATCACATTTTATTACTAAAGTATACAAGAGACTCTGGTATACACATTGCACCAGTGTAAATATTTATACCACTTACAGGACAATTTAATAGTGACCTTAATTTCACTTGCAAGCCTAGAACTGCAAGGACAAGAGTTAGATCATGGCTTAAAGATAACCAGCCCTCCAGGAAGCACAAGAAGAACGCCACTTATAAGAAGTGAACTGTATCAACAACTTTGGGGTTAATGAAAAGCTGCTCCCCAGAAGGACCCTAATCCGTGGTAAAATGGGGCAGGTACTGTGGCTGTCCTGTGCTCAGGAGAGCTTTCTGTGAGCCCTGGTCCGACTGTGCTGCTCCCCAGCAGCCTTGCCCACACGAGGCTGATGCTGCTGCAGAATACCTAGAGAGAGATTTCCTGTAACAAACTGGGGGAGAAGGTATTACACCTAAAATGATGTTACTGTTTAGGGAAAAAAAAAAAAAAAAAAAGTTTATAACTGCATATGGAAACTTGCTGCTTAATATTGCTGGAAAGATGTCCAACATGCAGTATTACCCCTGAGTACCTCAAAGTATTCAGGACCACGCATAGCTCTGCTATGAATTATTCTCTGTAAATCTCTGCTATATTTAACCAAAAGGAAAACCTGAAATGGTAAAAAAGAGCACCAGACAACATATTTGCCAGAAGCCTTGGGAAATAAGAACCAAAAATAAAATAAATAAATAAATAAACATAGTCAAATAATAATAGAATGCTAATTAACAAGTTTTGTATTTATTTACCGAATAGATGATAAGTTAACAAATATATGTTTGACCTTTTTAGTCATATTTCTAGCCAGGAAAGTCATGGCTATTAACTGTTACCAGGGTGCCATGGGATTCATGTTCAGAGGCTTCCTTTTCACTTTGTTGTTGTAGCCTCTCATCTTTTACTGACATTACACACCACTCATCACGATCAGTGTCAGAAGCTATAACAGCATCTGTTGCAGTGGCAGCTTCTGCTGGATGAAGAGTCTCCCTCTTTACCTTAAAGAATGTCAATCATTTTTCATTTTCAGCATTCAGACTTGCTCATCAGTTAGTAACAACACTTCCAGCTACACCAAACGTGATTTTTGAATAAACACCGGACTGAGATCATTGGAAATGATTGACAGCATATAAACCACGCTTTTTCAGAAACCAGTAAGAAAGGGAAAAAAATAAGAAAATCTTTCCCTGCTTCTAATGTTTCACTGTCATTTGAAACAGCTTCTACCTGAGGGGGTGGGGGACAAAAAACTTGATTTGTGACATGTGAAGGCCTCGCAGGTGGCTTTCTGCAAGGTACCTCGTAGAATCCCCTGCCTCCTTCCTGCTATAAGCCGCACTGGAGAGAGAAGGGGAGGCGTCAGCAGTTACTTAACGATCTTCATTTTCCTTAATTATCCGGCACCTAAGTACCCAGTTAAGTTAGTCCCTATGGAATAGCTGATATTCATTATTCTTAGCATAACTATCCTCTCACGAGCTTTATTTGTTCATTCTCTGGGAAGTGTTCCCAACCGCACCAGCTGGAGACGGGCCTATGCCACCTCCAGGCGTCCACGTCGCACCAAGAGGCGGTGAAAAGCAGGGACCCAGGGAGATGTCCCTCTGTGGGGAGGGTGCCCTTCACCCTGCACAGGAGGCTGGTGCTGTGCTCTGCCTTGCAATCTGCCTGCTGCTGCCATGTGCCTGCAGGCCAGGGGCAGCAGCTGGGACTGCTTTTTACTCCCCCATGCCCAGGTGTGAAGGCACAGCACCTGCTCCTGTTGCGGCCTAAGCCCAGGCCCAGCCACGTACCCAAGCTCACCATCTCCCTCGCATGAGGAGGAAAGAAGTGTCCTAAGAGGAGCGGATGAATCACATACGAATCACAGCTTGGAAAATGAAAGTGCAGAAACAAGGCAGAAAACTGAAGGCATTTACACTTCCCTTCCTCTTACACCTGAACATTTAACTCAAAATCTTAGCATTGTCTTTCAAGGTTTTCCTTCAATTTTGCTGCGATCTCAAGGTTTGGTTGTAAGACAAATGTAGTTTCCAAAAGCTGTACTCAGATTGCAGATGTTTCATACTTTCTCTTTTGCTCTTTTAGAAATTAATCAGTCACTTCACCAGCAAGTGCCTTCTACTCCGGTTAATTAGCAGCTCATTGTATGGTCAGTTGCTGTGGCAGCAGAAGGGTCTTGCTTAGGGCTGGGTGCAAGCCCAAGAGGGGAAAGTATGCCTGACAGCCCTACAGGAGCTGAGGGTTTCAGGGAGAAGCTTCCTATGTGGTGCCATTTGTTTTCTTTAATATGACCTAAATACAAAGAAGCTGAGGCCAAGAAGCACTCAGCACATGTGAAGTTGTGGAGGATCTGGGTAACAGGAGCCTGCCTGATACCCCACACATCACCACCCAATCCCACTGCCAGCGGGCCTCAACATCAGCTGAAGACCTCACCAGAGTTGCACATGGGAAGTTCTCAGACAAATCAGACTGATTGACTAATGTAGCAAAACAGGATCAGAATTTCATTGTCTCCCCCTTCCCAGGAAGCGTTCTTTATGATAGCATTTCCTGTAATATTCTTGGTTTTTTTTGTGTGTGTGTGTTTTTTTTTTTTTTCCAAAGCTTCCTGTGCCCTTTGTCTGTAATGCTCAGGTTAGGTGTTTTTTGTTCTTTTCTATTAGTAGTGAGCTTGATACAAATACTGAGAAATTCACTATTAGGTTTAAATCTTACCTTATTAAAAAAAAATAATAATAATTTTTTTTTTTCCTGATTTTGTAAAAAGATGTAGTCTTCTGCCAAGATAGAGAAAGTCAAGAAGTCTCTAGAAACCATCTCTTAGATCATACTCTACAAACAAAGCTCACATCTCCTTCCTTTGCAAACAACAGCTTACCAACGAGCTCCGCTGAAGTTACTCAGACCTGCGGGGGCTCCTTACAAATTCTACCCAAGATTGAACAAGACACCTCAATATACAAAGCATAGATGCACCCTAGGCTCCCAGACAGGTTTAGATGGCAATGCTTGTTAAGGGGAAAGAAGGCGGATGTTTCTCATCAGAGATACTTTTCTGTTTCTACAAAAGCTTTTGAAAAGTATAAATAAATAAATCTCCATAAAACTTTTAATTTATTAGAAGACTTCTTAAACTTTGCTTTAATAAGCACACGCACAGCAAATTACAGTACTTGCACTCTTGAAAAGTGACAATATTAGTCCATAATACATGTACTTACTTCAGCGGCACGCATAGATGTTTTTCCCTCAACTCAGGAACAGGTTGTTGAATTACAAACTCAGATGTTCTAAGAAGTAAATCAAACCCTTTTCTTCACCACTAGAGATTCCTGCTCACCTCCTCAAGTAACAGTGGGGGAGGAAGGGGAAGGGAGGGGCAGGATGTTATTAGCTCATCTATTCCAGGTAAGCATAATCTGTGTAGTTGCTCTTTCTACACAGCTAGTTTGTGAAAACACTTCTTTCTCTCCATTTTCATTTTAACAGGGCTCCCAGTACATATCTTACTGAGGGACTGATCACATCCATTGCTGCCTTCAGTTCTAGTAATCTTTATTTTCATTCAACCTCCCAATAGCTCTTGGGAGGTCTGCAGCCTGGAGCCAAGGGTAGGAGGAGAGTCCCAGCTGAAATTCCACTCCTCTCATTTACAAAAAGTCACAGTGTTAACACAATAGGGAGAACTTAAATCCATAAGATGGATCAAAAAAGCTCCATGTCAAAGTCAGCAGATGCCATATAACTCATTACTGTTTCTTGTGAATGCTTTTCCAGAAAATTCTACTACAGAGAAGGCTCAGGCTTCCTCAGACTGAAGTTGAAGTCATGCCAAAATGCCAGGCTGGATTTTACCAATCTGCAGATTCAGGAGGTGATCTCCGTTTTTTAAAGAAGGCCCCCATTTTAAAATGCTCCTGCTTTTGAGTGGCAACTGGATATTGTCTAAAAGACTCTGGATGTCAGATGCAGGGTACATCTGTACAGTTTATTAAAGTGGAAAGAAATTACAAGTTGCCACTTTTTAGTTGCTAATTGGAAGAATTTGGATACTAAGGCTTCTGTTCAGGGCTGTGACCCTAGCTCAGAGTGCTTGGGCCTTTACATCAGTGACACTGGGTTATATTTTCTGTTGATCTTTTTTAAGCTTTTGAAAATATGTAGGCAAATGCTTATTTTTTCCTACAAAAGGTGCCAAGGAACAAACTAACCCTCTGCAGCTTTTCTACAAAAGTCATCCAGTCTGACAACTGTAAGTTTTCATGGTTTGTTTGCCATGCCTAATGCTCAGTGTTCTTGTCTGAGCTCATGACTGAGTGTACAAATGTGGTGAACATCCCAATTCCCTAAAGTTTAGCACAGCAATTTTGAAAATGATTGTACGAAGAAGGGCTGCTTATAGTGTACAAATGATAAGACTAGGGCTGATACACACAAGGCCAGCAGAGAGCAACTGTTGATATTACAACCTGCTATTTGTCGAATCTCTTAACTAAGCAATTTTCAGAAATATGAAAAATAACATTGCTCAAAAATGTGATACAGAAAATGATAAAAACATTCAAATGTGAGTTAATCTTAAAAGAAAAATGGAAAGCAAAATCAATACCTGCCTAAAATGACAATATATTTTGTGAACCAAGAAAAGGATAGGTTAAGTCAATTCTGTTTTGCTTTTGAAAATATTTTCTTTCTTTTTGCCTATATATTGCTTTTGCATAAATTCCAAGTTCTGGGAAAACATCTCCAGAAACAGGATTCAAATTTTGCTTTATGAGGGTTTTCCTTTGTTTATTTTCTATGTATGTTTTATTAATATTGTAAAGTATAAAGTATTTTAGGATAGATTAGACTGCCATCAGAAAAACATATTCAAAGCAAAAATTAAAATTGACAATATTAGTCATTTTCTGTGAAAGAGCTTTCCAGGTCAAGGATTAGTTACTGAAGAAACATTAGCTGAAGATGCAGCATTATAAATGGCCTTCTCTCAGCCACTTGTACCAGTGGTCGAATAATTCATTTCTTAGTAAGAAATATGATGGTCTATTAGCGGAAAGAAAGATTAGGTGCACATTAATCAAACATTTCAGAGACGTATAAACATGCATAGAGCAACCAGGAATATCCCATTATCCTATTCCAGAAGATATATGTAATCAATATTTCAAATATATCTAGTTAGTTTCATATCATTGAGTTTTAAGTATTTCCTCTCTGTAAAATAGGCAGTGTTTTCAAAGGCAGCATCACTAATTTCGTGAAGTTCTGCGGTATCCGAATGGACCAGGCCAAAGGAAAAAAAAATCTACCAACAGTTGAAGTCAAAAAGATTGGCCAACTAGTAATATCGGAGAGCATATTCTGTTTAAAATGCATTGACTTGAAATAGTGCTGGTTCTTCACCTTTTTCTAGCTGAGGATAGCTTACAAAGCATTGACTTCCTGCCCTCAGCCTCCCCAACCCCCCCAAAAAAAATAAAAAATAATAATAATAAAAAAGGAAAGCCAACCAACTAACAATGGAAAAGCGTGAAAATATATTTGGTGGAAATCAGTCTGAGGCAGTACTTTGTTGTTTGTACTGTTTGGAAACAGAAGGAGGCATTTGCAAACATCATCTCACTGCTGTTTGCATCAAGTAAATATGCTTTCATTTGACAGTCATTTGCTGGCTTCCAAAAAGAGCTCTTGGGACAGGGAAAGCCCTTGGGCCCATGATAACATTTACCTGGTACTCTGCCGACAGCCCATGTTGTTATTCTATACTTGCAGGAAGAGTGGTTTAAGGTAGAAGACTAGCTCATCTGTGGATATCAATCAGGAGAAACCAGTGAGCTTGGAGCTTCAGTATGTATCACACTCTTCAGAAAAAGAAGACGTTTTTCATAGCTCAAAACTCAAATATTCATTTTGTGCAAAAACTCACATCAAACAGTGCATCTTTCATGGGCAGTACCAGCAGTATGTAGCAGGGAAAAAAAATATCTGTTTCAAAGCCAATACCCCCAAACCATTTCTAATAGGCAACAGCTGCGAATTTCAAGAAAATCTCTTAGCATGGAATTGTCTCACCAGGGTCAGAGGACTGTTATTTAGTTATTTACTAGGATACTTGGAATCAGCATTTTCATAGTTGTGAAAAATTGTGTGTGAAAAAAATCCAGATATTATTTCATGTCGTGGTCTACAAAGCTCAGAGTATGCGGTGTTTCTTTCATTAATTCTGTATATTGCCTCAGGCTTACACAACGTGTACTTCAACACCTTTAATATGGTGGCTCGGTGTCAAGGAGTACGTTTCTGAGTTCAGTCTGTGAAACGTCTGTAGGCATTCATACTGGACTTATAATATATGTAGAAGTATCGCTGGAAGTTGGCTTCATCCCAGCCATGGGGGTTTTGACTTCACTCCACACAGCTGTAGCAGGGACACAGGGATGAGTCACGTATTTTCCTTGAAGCAAATGTAGATTCCTCTTGACAGCACTGCTAGATGTTTCTCAGCTCAGAGTTTACCAAGGGGCAGCTTGTATTTGCACAGAAATAGAAAAAGAAAGAAAGAAAAAAGAGAAGCATCTACTTTAAAAGCAGTGAAGTTCTTGTAGGTCCTGTACAGAAGGTGACATAAGCACCAGGACCTTCCTGTCCTTTCTGGCAGAGATGGGACCCTTTGCTGGTGCGTGCTCACCCAAACAAGGCTGCAGGACCTGTCACAGGGCTTCAAAACACGGCAGGGCAAAATGCAGGGAGTGCTTTTTTCATGCACATTTTCAGGCTCTTAAGACTCCATGCAATGTCTGTGGGGAGAGAGGACAGCAGCACTGAGAGACACCCACCACAGATTGACAGAGAAAAGGAGACTTTCTGCAAAGTCTTCCATAAAAAATCATCAGGACTTCTCTTAGGACTCTCACAGGAGTACATGTGAAAACCTTCTTTGGACCTTCAGGGAGGACAACCAGGAGGAGCAGGCAGTCCAGCTAATACTTTTGGATTCAGCAACAAAACCAACTGAATGAGGGACACTGGGTAACTTTAACTTGAAAACCAGGCAAAAGTTCAAAAAGAATATGAAAACATTTCTAAAACAATTGGAAAAAAACATATAGCAGCTATGGTTCATACCTGCAGAACTGTGTCAAGCAGCACACTCACCTGGTAGCAACGATTCAGCATGCTGGTTTTTGGTTGGTTTTTTAACTAAGCAGTATGAGAGCTAAATCAAAAAATGGAAGATGAACAAAATGCTTTCTCTTGAACTGAGATGTTCCCATCTAATGGGCCAGCCCTCTTGCTCTGTTTGCCCACTACCCCGCCAGCTTATCTGCCATCTTATCTCTCATCAGCCATCCCTGGGGAGTGCGGTGCTACTGGGGGGACACCGCTCCTCAGCTGACCATGAGGCTGGCACCACGCGTGGCTCTGCCTTACTGAACTACAACAGGCAAATTAGAGATGGTTAGATGGATGTAGGAGTGTGGGGCCAGCCACGTGCTGCTCGGATGTGGCCCTAGCAGGCAGGGGACAGTGGGAAGCTCTGGCAGCCTCCTTGCACGGTAGGAGCAAGCCCAGCCCAGGAGTAGATGGCCTCAGGCTGTGTGCAAGGGGGTTCCTCTTCAGCATGCACATTGGAAGCAAAATCTGTAAAAGCGAGGGATTTATGAGTCTCCACTTAATGGTTAATGTACACGCAGAGGCACCCAGGTGCCGTGCTTGCAGTGACTCCCCAGACATCTCTTTCCCGCGGCTCCTCCCTGCGGTCACAGCGCTGACAGCTGCTGCTGCCTCTGCGCCTGCAGGGAGGGGACGTAGCAGTGGCAGGTGTGACTGGGTGCCTCTCGGAGGGGAAACCAGCATTGCACCTTCAAGGGCTCCAACCGCATGCCTTTATCCAAAAGCGAGACTCCCTGCTCCCTTACACCTTGCATCTGTCTGTACACCTACAACACAAGGGGAAGCTGTGGGGTATTGCCACTGGTGGCGCAATAGCAAGGCTAACATTGTGTATTCGGTATGTTCAGGAGGGGGGTTTGGTCTTGTGTACCAAAAAACACTTACCTGCAGAACAGGTAATCTTGTGGGATCGAAGGAGATTTTTGGTCCTTGCAGGTGCAAGGAGTTAATGGATGCTGTGTTTTGCCTGTGGATGATCTTTGCTGCTCACATTAGCTCTGAAAGGGCCAATAAACAAGACCGAATAATGTGAGACTTTTCAGTTGCTAAGGCAATGAATTAATCAGCATGTATGTGTTCAGCATATTCACATGATCCTGCCAAGGCCGACAGTTCTAGGTGTCCTGCTATATTTTTGCCAGCATGAGAAGGGAGCAGAGGAATTGGCAGAGAATGAAGTGTCAGTGAGGGCTGTAATAAAAATTTTGGAAGGAGAAACCAGCACCTACTGCATACGCTACGTTCATGCATTATGTGATGTTATAGCATGCCAGCGAAACGTGGCTCTTTGCCACCATTCTGTGTAACAGCTTCATTTAGCCTAATTATTGAGTATAAAATCCTCTTGTCCAGTAAGAGCTGATTTCTCCTCCCAGAGTTGTGAATCCAGCCTTAACAGTATTCAGTGCATTTGATCAGATTTACAGACCCTGAACCAACTCCGCAGCTGACAAGACATTGCTTCACTTAAATCATTAAATTGCTGTCTATCTCAGGAGCTGGGTTCTTTAAAACCTTCTTCAAGTAAGATGCAAACCAGCCAAGCAGCACCAACTTCATTTCCAAACCCAAGAGCATCAGTGCATGCTCGGGAGGGTTGAGGCTAGCACAGCACAGTTGATGTGCATAGATGAGCCCGTGGTTTGTAAATGTTTTTTGATGCTGATCGGGCAGTCTGACTTAATGACTGTAAATTAAATACTGCGATGGCTGCGGACACATGCAATTAGTCAAATAAATAAATAAAATTAAAAAAAAATAATAATTAAAAAAGAAGACAGAGCAAGCTGAGTTGTTTTAGTTTGGAAGATCAGATGAAATGTTTGGGTTCTTTGTTGCGTTCCTTTTTACCTACTTAAATACCAGAGATTAGGTCTTTCCTACTATCCTCTACCACATGTCAGCAGCTAGCCAAAAAGTCCAGTCCCTGTTACTCTCCTCAGCGCTGTGGTCATGGAACACCTTTTGTTTCATAAAGAAGCTTACCTGCTCTATTACCTGAAATGAACGGTAAACATCCAGCAAGGTTTAGCCCGATCTGAAACAAAAAGCAGCCTGTAAGAAGGAAATCCATGGCCTGACCTGCAACGTTGTGCTGGGAAAGAGCTGTACAATCTACTGCCTTAAGCACGCAGCAGGTTATCGTCACATCTGGAGCTCTGAGCCTGGTCCTTACCCCAATTCCAATCTGGCTTTGTGTGAATGTAAATCTCCTTATCTGTAAAGTGAAGATAATGCTCCTACAGCACAGTGCACAGTGTAGGAGAATTAAATGGATAAAGTTTATAAAGTGTTTTATATGTCAGACAAAGTACATATAAAACCTAAACATCCTTACAGAAAGCCGTGATAGCTGAGTATCAGAAAGCTAATAGGGAGAAAAGCATTACAAACCTGGCAGAGAGAACAGGTCTGGTCCTGAACACTAGCGCTCATGCAAAATCGATTTAACTCCAGAGGAGAACAGCCCTAGGCAGGAGGTGCAGGCACCAGGGCAGGCTGGCTGCAGGAAGCAAAGGCTCCCGGGCAGACCACGCTCATCCCTGCATCTCCCACCCAGGAGCAGGTTCACAGAAGATGACCATGTGCCCGGGGAATCTAATTAAAAGCCATGTGCAGTTCATTAGCCAGGCTGGCTCAGCGTGCAGGCCTGATCTGCCATTGCAGTCGTGGCTGGGTGCTGGAGGCAAGGAGGCAGCCAGAGCAGCCCTGCCTGCCCCACGCACCCAGGGGCCCACAGCTGCAGCTCTGCCACCCCACCAGGGCTCCAGGAACATGCTGAAGGGAAGCAGGGGGCTGATTTAGATAAAGCATTAAATACCCAAACCATTCGAAGCTCCCAGTTGCTGGCTGAAAGCAGAGCAGTAGTGGAGTGTACGCCTGTGCCACATGGATAGCTGAAGCTGTAGCTCTCTCTACAGGCTTCACGCACACTCGCTGCACAGCCAGAGGCAGCACGGCAAAAGCAGAAAGCCTGTCCCAAACCGTAGCTGGACAGTCTTCTCTCGGGAATCCTGATCCTCACCTGTCCAGGAGAAAGCTCGGCATTGCTCTCAGCATGCACTAAAAAGCCTTGGGTTAAGAGAGATCCTTGGCGTAACAATGAAGCACTGCATTTTTATCTCGCCATTGTGGTGAACAGCTGAGTGATCAAACGGAGAACAGGGAAAAAAATAATGAGGAGAAAGAAATGCATCGGTGGCTGCTGCCTGCCTAGGCACTCACGGCAGCGGGAGGCTGCCCCGCACTGAGCACCCACTGTGCTCATGTGGGGAGCACCAGAGGAGCAGAGCAGAGCCTGCCGCTCCCACTGTGCACAGCCAGCAGGCCTGGGGACAGCCAGGTCCTTGTGTGAGGATGTTACCGGGAGTCAGGAGGAACGGAGGGCTTGTCCTCCTGTGCGGCGCTCCAGCAGGGCAGGAGCTGTGGTGGGGGGCACTGCGTGCAGCTGCTCCATGATGCGGGCAGCAGTGCCTGCTCAGGATGGGGTATCACCCACGGGGCTAATCGGCACCAGCACAGCAGCTCAGCACCCACCAGAGCTCGGGGCAGTTCTGGCCAGGCCCTGGGTGCCACCGCTGTGCCTGCAGCCGTCCCACAGCCACCCAGCCACCAGGCTGTCCTGGAGGGGTGCAGGAGCTGGGGCTCCCACAGCCTCAACTGGAGCAGGAAATTCAGCTGTGAAGTTGGGATTCCAGACTAAAGAAAATAAATGCTGTATCTCACAGAGCATGAGGACACAGAGGGGAAGAAATGAACTTAACGCTTTGTTACAGTGCACGAGGCTGTAGGTTGCAGCCTGTGCAGAAGAGAAGACGACCTGGGAGCACTGCGGTGCAGGGCGGCGTGGGAGCCCCGTGCTGTGCCATGCTGCCCCGTAGGAAGGCAGCGAGTGCAGGGCTGCAGAAGACCATTGCTGTGGGGTGATGCAGCTGCACGGTGGGGAGGTAGCCACTCCAGCTGACCCACTGGTGGCACAGCCTTCAGAGGGGACAGGGCAGAAGAGGCCTCAACGCAGCTGGTAGCAAGGAGAGGGGCAAGGGCAAACCCAGATTCAGTCTCAATCATTAGTTATCACTATCACAATAGGGTGTTTTGGTCTTGGTTGGGGGTTTTTCTTTGCTTGTTTGTCAGGTTGGTTGGGTGTTTGTGTTTTTTTTGTTTGTTTTTGTTTTCCTATTCGTAATAAATACTCGAGCTGTTAACAATGTAATTTGATGATGCCTTCAGGTCATCTCATTGTAATGGATTTATTGGGAATATAACCCACATATTTAGAGCTAAGGTGGACAAATATTTTATTTTCTTTTTTATTGCCCCATTATTTATAAAGTTCTCTGTGAATCCTGTAAATACATTTTTTTCATCTCCCTTCAGAGTTTGTCTTTCTCTTTGGCAAACATTGATTTTTTTTCATGTTTTTTCCAGTGAACCTTGAAATTAAAATGTCTTTTTTTGTTTAATTTCTTTTTTTGTACACCGGACTCATTGTCAGCACAGCAAGAGCAAGGTGCTTTGTTAGATTACTGCTGCTTCAAAGCTACTGAAGGGAAGAGTTGACCACATTTTCTCATCTATATGTAGTTCCTTCATAAGTTGCAATTACTCTCTTTAAAACACAATGCCAAACCCAAGTTCTCAGCATTTTAATGAAGCATTTTATATTTTTAGTATTGCAGAATCAATTTTAACCAAATTATACCAGTTTTAAAAATTGTAGAATTCTTTGTCCTTTGAGTGGACAAATCATTTGTACAGAGATGGTGATGTACAAAAATAGCAAGGACTGCAGGCAGAAGGAGTATCTTTTATTAGACCAGCTGATATAGTTGGAGAAAAAAAAAAAAGAAAAGCTTTCAGACACACAAGCCCCTTGAAAGCGTTTCTGTTTTTTTCAACTATGTCAATTGTTCTAATAAAAAATATTACCTCTCCCCTCAAACCTTGCCTCTCTTCTACCCTTCTACCACAGCAGCTACAGCAACACTATTTCTAGCAGAAAAAAAAAATAATCGTTTTTGTATAGCAAAGAAATTATATCGCCATTTTCCCATGTGTTTTTCATCAAAACTAGCCTGTTCCCTTTCTTACAGTAGAGAATTTTTAAAGTATTTTTAGAAAATAATCATTTTTATGATAATTACTTTGTCATTGCCATTTTATCTGCTATTGCAGAAGTCTCTATTACATAGTCTTGACTAAGAATGCTTTTTTCTTTTGCTAAGTAGCCAGGGCACTGTAGGTTATGAAATTAAAGCTTAAATTATAGTAGGGTAAAGTGGCTGGACCCAGGAACACAGATACATTTGTATCCTTGGTTGGCTTGATGTGCCATCAGAAAGTTAGGAAATTCTGCCATCTTCAAAATATTCAGCTAAAATGACATCCCCAATAAATTAAAAGGGTTTGCTTTAGCTTTGTGACCCAGGGACCATTATGCTAAGCAAGTACAACCATCTATGTTAAAAGGCTAAAGAGCAGGTAGTAAGTGTTTAAAGCAGCAAGAGTCGTGTTTAAAAAAAAAAAAAAAAAAAAAGTCTTTAAAAATGGATTGTTCGAGGCTATAATAAACTATGAATTGAAAAAGGTTAATTGACAAAATGATACTCGTCTAATGCCATCTCTGTAATAGCAATCATTGCTGAATCCATAATTCAGGGGTCTTGCTATATCGACGATTACATTTCCTCAAAAAGACTCCAGTTATTTCCTTAGTCTGTTTAACCTATGGTAATTAATTATAGATTTACAAGTAGTACACAGTCAGATACAGGTATCTGTAGCCGCTGTGCTACTGGCAAAAAAGAAAAGTGCCTGTCTGCAGACGGGGGTGGCCCAGGTATCAGTATGAAGATTCATGCCGTGAGCTGACCTTTGCCTCCATCACCGTCCGAATCAAAGAGACAGTGCAGGTTATGGTAATCAGCCTCATTTCACGTCTGGCATTCAAGGAAGGGCAGCTTTGCCTCAAGGTTGCTGCACTTAGGTTCAAATCCCATTTTTGCAGAACCTCTGACCCGCAAATCTGATCTATTTTCCCCCAAACTGTATTTCTTATTCAGTGAGATACAATATGCTAGCAGTGAACAAACTGACAACATTTTAAGAATAGTAATAAAAATTCATTCAAATCTCTTCCATGTATCACATTCTCAGAGTGCCAGAGATACCCTTTTCATGATATAAAGATTCCTTGTTATTTTATTTTTTTCTAAATGTATCATGCCAAATTAGAGCTATTTGTTTTGGTTGTTTAGTTTTTTAAAAAAAGCAACAGCTCCCCAACAGGATGACAAATGAAGTCACTGGTATTGCTGCTTTGCAGAAAGGATTTGCCAAGCACTGGCTAAGTGGCTTTTGTGAGCAGAACAAAGTGAAGCACGTTCACTTCTATCCATGCATGCTACAGTTTGTACCCCAAAAAATGGCACAGACTTGATAAGAAGGGGCTATTATAGTGTCTCCTTAATTACAATTTATTCATCTTTTTTTTTTTTTTTAGTGCAAACTTATCAGCTATAACAAAAGATGTTTAAGAAACAAACCTTGTCAAAATAAATGAATTAAGAGCATTCATCCTTTTCCGGAGTGTGAAGAAGTTTGTAAGGTGATAATGAATTCTGTAATGCATTAGCCACACTTCTTAAAATGTGTGTACCACTTCCTCTCTAACTTGCTAAAGTTTTGTCATTCTTGCTGAATCTCCAGTTATGGGCACAAATTAACAAGATTTGATTGTAATTGGACTTCGAGTAATTCAACTATTATTCTGCCAAAGGCGGGATGTTTTCTCCGTGCAGAAGCCTGTTAAAGCTGCATGAAATCCATATGAAATCCATAGGCTTACTACCATTGGGCTTTGCTACATTACTTGGCAGAGGCTCATGCTGGAGAAAGTGCACAGCATCTTCTGCTTGCCAGGATTCTGCTACGGCTCAGGCAGCCCCCACGAGCCTCTCCCAGGAGCTTTTGGGCTATGCTGCCAGCGACGACTCCACACAACTGAATCCAGCTGCAGTGTTGTTTCCAAGTCCACCCATACAACCGCTGATTTAGTCCTTTGATGGTCAGGCACCAGCACAATCTCGCCATCACTGTAGAAGCCCAGCCCTATAGCTCACTGACTGCATTTTCAAAAATATCTCAATATTTACTTTGTGATCCACTTCACATCCATGATTTTGTCCCTTCACCGTTGAAGGAACAGAGTCCCACAGTACACACAACAGATAAGTGGCATTTCTGCTTCCCCTCCAAAAAGCACTTACGGGACAGACTGCAGACCTTAAGCTGCTCCCCTAGCTTCCTGTTTCATGACTTTTCCTGTAGGACACCTCTTCTGTGCAATTCACTGCCAGGCTGGTGTCCTCCTCTATCTCGTCATACCCTTCTTCACTTGAGAGCTCCGGTGAGGTCAGTCCCCGTAGCTGAGTGCACTCGTTTGAGATGCTCTGGAAACCAAGGAGTGTTTGCCGTGTTTACTGAGGTATGTGTGAATACAGCAAACCCAACCAAATTTTTAAGAAGCTTAGCTGTTTGCAATCCAGCTCACACAGGGCTGTGGATATCTTCAATCTGTCTATTTTCAGATTCTCACAGAAACTCTCCCCCCTGCTGTTTAGAAACAGAGATAGGCACAAGGAAGTCAATACCACTAGCAGTCCAACCTAAGATTCTAAGGGTCAGAAATGTGAATTAGCAGGGAAACAAAGGCTTTGGGATTTAGGAGAGATGTATCTGAGGTGAAGGACAAAAAGGGTTGGGCAGATTTCCAGGGAAACAATGAGGCGCAACAGGCCAGGACATCGCCCCTGCCCCAGTCTCCCAGTGCTCCCTGGCAAAATGAAGGAAATACAGTGTGCACAGGGAGAGATTTTCCTAAAGCAATACAACCCTGTTATCGCTGAAGAATGTCTTCTCTGTGGTGCAGTGTAGAGAGATTCAGGCTACCTGAAAATAGGAGAAGTCTGGAAATCCAGCCTGGATGGCCCCTTCACAGCCCCACAAAGCTATTTCTGGTACCCTACTACAGTGTGTGATGCAGACATATCCTTTGCCTGCTGTAAGAGCAAAGCATGCAGCAGCGAGGAGGAGATGTGCTGTCTGCAGTTACGGGAAACTGGTAGAAAGCATGGAGCTGTGGAGAGGCTGAAATAACTAAGCAAGTTTGGGCACTGCTAACTTATACTGCAGCCATTTCCAGCACCTGCAGCCGCCAAATTCAAGGAAGTGCAAAAGCAAATTCACACCAGTTTTATTCATTCACTGGGGAGCAGGACCAACATCTAAGCTCCAAACTTATGATTAAAACATGTTTTAAGAGTGGCAAATAGACTCGAACATTTGTGCCCAGAAACATTTGTGCCCAGTATGCTGTTTGAATACCGATCTCTGCTGGAGATCCAATATGCCATTGGAAGAGTTATTCATGAATGTTGAAAACAATTCCAGCACTGAACCAGCCCAATCTGGGATAATATTTCCTATTAGATATCTCACTGAACCTGCCAGATTTGC